TGTTGTATCACATTGATTTGCGGATGTTGAACCAACCTTGCAGCCCTGGAATAAATCCCACTTGGTCGTGGTGAATAATCCTTTTAATGTACTGTTGAATCCTATTGGCTAGTATTTTGGTGAGAATTTTTGCATCTGTGTTCATCAAGGATATTGGTCTGTAGTTCTCTTTTTTGATGGGATCCTTGTCTGGTTTTGGGATCAAGGTGATGCTGGCCTCATAAAATGAGTTTGGAAGTTTTCCTTCCATTTCTATTTTTTGGAACAGTTTCAGGAGAATAGGAATTAGTTCTTCTTTAAATGTTTGGTAGAATTCCCCCGGGAAGCCATCTGGCCCCGGGCTTTTGTTTGTTTGGAGATTTTTGATGACTATTTTGATCTCCTTACTGGTTATGGGTCTGTTCAGGCTTTCTATTTCTTCCTGGTTCAGTTGTGGTAGTTTATATGTCTCTAGCAATGCATTCATTTCTTACAGATTGTCAAATTTGTTGGCATAGAGTTGCTCATAATATGTTCTTATAATTGTCTGTATTTCTTTGGTGTTCGTTGTGATCTCTCCTCTTTCATTCATGATTTTATTTATTTGGGTCCTTTGTCTTTTCTTTTTGATAAGTCTGGCCAGGGGTTTATCAATCTTATTAATTCTTTCAAAGAACCAGCTCCTAGTTTCGTTGATTTGTTCCATTGTTTTTTTGGTTTCTATTTCATTGATTTCTGCTCTGATCTTTATGATTTCTCTTCTCCTGCTGGGTTTAGGGTTTCTTTCTTGTTCTTTCTCCAGCTCCTTTAGGTGTAGGGTTAGGTTGTGTACCTGAGACCTTTCTTGTTTCTTGAGAAAGGCTTGTACCGCTATACATTTTCCTCTCAGGACTGCCTTTGTTGTGTCCCACAGATTTTGAACTGTTGTATTTTCATTATCATTTGTTTCCATGAATTTTTTCAATTCTTCTTTAATTTCCTGGTTGACCCATTCATTCTTTAGAAGGATGCTGTTTAGTCTCCATGTATTTGGGTTCTTTCCAAATTTCCTCTTGTGATTGAGTTCTAGCTTCAGGGCATTGTGGTCTGAAAATATGCAGGGAATGATCCCAATCTTTTGATACCAGTTGAGACCTGATTTAGGACCGAGGATGTGATCTATTCTGGAGAATGTTCCATGTGCACTAGAGAAGAATGTGTATTCTGTTGCTTTGGGATGAAATGTTCTGAATATATCAGTGATATCCATCTGGTCCAGTGTGTCATTTAAGGCCTTTATTTCCTTGTTGATCTTTTGCTTGGATGATCTGTCCATTTCAGTGAGGGGAGTGTTAAAGTCCCCTACTATTACTGTATTATTGTTGATGTGTTTCTTTGATTTTGTTATTAATTGGTTTATATAGTTGGCTGCTCCCACGTTAGGGGCATAGATATTTACAATTGTTAGATCTTCTTGTTGGACAGACCCTTTGAGTATGATATAGTGTCCTTCCTCATCTCTTATTATAGTCTTTGGCTTAAAATCTAATTGATCTGATATAAGGATTGCCACTCCTGCTTTCTTCTGATGTCCATTAGCATGGTAAATTCTTTTCCACCCCCTCACTTTAAATCTGAAGGTGTCTTCGGGTTTAAAATGAGTTTCTTGTAGGCAACATATAGATGGGTTTTGTTTTTTTATCCATTCTGATACCCTGTGTCTTTTGATTGGGGCATTTAGCCCATTAACATTCAGGGTAACTATTGAGAGATATGAATTTAGTGCCATTGTATTGCCTGTAAGGTGACTGCTATTGTATATTGTTTCTGTTCCTTTCTGATCTACTACTTTTAGGCTCTCTCTTTGCTTAGAGGACCCCTTTCAATATTTCCTGTAGAGCTGGTTTGGTGTTTGCAAATTCTTTCAGTTTTTGTTTGTCCTGGAAGCTTTTAATCTCTCCTTCTATTTTCAATGATAGCCTAGCTGGATATAGTATTCTTGGCTGCATGTTTTTCTCGATTAGTACTCTGAATATATCATGCCAGCTCTTTCTGGCCTGCCAGGTCTCTGTGGATAAGTCTGCTGCCAATCTAATATTTTTACCATTGTATGTTACAGACTTCTTCTCCCGGGCTGCTTTCAGGATTTTCTCTTTGTCACTAAGACTTGTAAATTTTACTATTAGGTGACGGGGTGTGGACCTATTCTTATTGATTTTGAGGGGGGTTCTCTGAACCTCCTGGATTTTGATGCTTGTTCCCTTTGTCATATTGGGGAAATTCTCTCCAATAATTCTCTCCAATATACCTTCTGCTCCCTCTCTCTTTCTTCTTCTTCTGGAATCCCAATTATTCTAATGTTGTTTCGTCTTATGGTGTCACTTATCTCTCGAATTCTGCCCTCGTGGTCCAGGAGCTGTTTGTCCCTCTTTTGCTCAGCTTCTTTATTCTCTGTCATTTGGTCTTCTATATCGCTAATTCTTTCTTCTGCCTCATTTATCCTAGCAGTGAGAGCCTCCATTTTTGATTGCACCTCATTAATAGCTTTTTTGATTTCAACTTGATTAGATTTTAGTTCTTTTATTTCTCCAGAAAGGGCTTTTATATCTCCCGAGAGGGTTTCTCTAATATCTTCCATGCCTTTTTCGAGCCCAGCTAGAACCTTGAGAATCGTCATTCTGAACTCTAGATCTGACATATTACCAATGTCTCTATTGATTAGGTCCCTAGCCTTTGGTACTGCCTCTTGTTCTTTTGTTTGCGGTGAATTTTTCCGCCTTGTCATTTTGTCCAGATAAGAGTATATGAAGGAACAAGTAAAATACTAAAAGGGTGGCAACAACCCCAGGAAAATATGCTTTAGCCAAATCAGAAGAGATCCCAAATCGTGAGGGGTTGGGGGGAAGGGGATAAAAAGAGGTTCAGAAAGAAAAAAAAGAAAAAGAAAAAAGAAACAAATAAAAAAAGAAAACCAATAATGAAAAAATATAAAAAGGAAAAAATATATATATATTAGATAAACTAGTTAAAAAACGTTAAAAAAGAAAAGGGTAAAAGTTAAAAAAATTTAGCAGAAGAAGAGAAAAAAATTTGAAAAAGAAAAAAAATTAAATTAACTGTAAGGCTAAAGAATCATGGGGAGAAAGCCATGAGTTTCGTGCTTTGCTTTCTCCTCCTCTGGAATTCTGCTGCTCTCCTTGGTATTGAAACTGCACTCCTCGTAAGTGAACTTGGTCTTGGCTGGGTTTCTTGTTGATCTTCTGGGGGAGGGGCCTGTTGTAGTGATTCTCAAGTGTCTTTGCCCCAGGCGGAGTTGCACTGCCCTTACCAGGGGCCGGGCTGAGTAATCCGCTCGGGTTTGCTTTCGGGAGCTTTTGTTCCCTGAGCGCTTTCCGTAGAGTTCCGGAGGACGGGAATGAAGATGGCGGCCTCCCAGTCTCCGGCCTGGAGGAGCCGAGGGCCCGGGGCCCCACTCCTCAGTGTGTCCTCAGAGAACAGCGCCCAATTACTCCCGTCACCCTGGCCTCCGGCCGCGCTCCGAGGTGACCGAGCCTGTGACCGGTTCAAGGTAACCCCGAGCTGAGAGTCACTCCTCGGCTCCGTCTCTGTAGCCGGCTTCCCCGTTCTAATACCTGCGAGCTCTGCGACACTCAGACACCCCTGATCCTTCTGTGACCCTGCGGGACCTGAGGCCACGCTGACCCTGCGTGGGCTTCACCCCGGTTAAGCCTCTGGAGTGATGTCCCTCAGCAGAACAGACTTTTAAAAGTCCTGATTTTGTGCTCCGTTGCTCCGCCGCTTGCCGGGAGCCGGCCCCTCCCCCCGCGGTCTATCTTCCCTTCGCTTTGGATTCACTTCTCCGCCAGTCCTACCTTTCAGAAAGTGGTTGATTTTCTGTTTCTAGAATTGCTGTTCTTCTTCTCTTCGATCTCCCGTTGGATTTGTAGGTGTTTGCAATCTTTAGATAAGCTATCTAGCTGATCTCCCGCAACCTGAAGTAGTCTCAGCTGCTACTTCTCCGCCATCTTGACTCCTCTCAGGACTTTATTTTCTATATTTATTTTGTTTTGGCAGGAGAGAGGGGAGAGGGTGGGGTGGAGAGGGAGTCCTAAGTAATTCCATGCCCAACATGGAGCCAATGTGGGGCTCCATCTCACAACCCTGAGATCATGACCTGGGCTGAAATCAAGAGTTGGATACTAAACCGAGTGAGCCACCCACATGCTTCAGGAGTGTACCTTCTATATTGAAGACAGACAACGTATCAACTAACGAATGGGATCATTTCAATTATTAAGGTTATAAAGGAGATAAATTGAGCACTATATTAGAAGTGACCAGGCACAGAGGGAGCAAACTCATCCCCTTTCTTTATAGTTCTTTTGCTTCTGGTCTGACTATAAATCTTGTATTCTGTTTTCTCGTGATTTTTCTTTTAGTACTGTTTTCTGGTGCTTTCTTATTACCCAACATTTCGCCCTTTTCATTCATCCCTTAGATGACCAACTGCCCATTTTTAAGAACTAATAGATGATCTCATTGCATTGTGCTTTTCTTACTTATAATCTTATGCTTTCTTTCTGACTTCTAAAAATTTCTTTGCCACGGTGTACATGATAAAGGTTATCTTTAGTCATTCTTGAAATCAAAAGACATTTCTCCAAAATAAACCTTACTTTTTGACATCCTGTGTGTGTGTGTGTATAAACTATACATATATATATAATATATATGTAAATTATATATATATATATATATATAAAATTTTTTTGAAGAATAAGAAGAGTGATTTTCAAATGTTTCTCTCAGTGGAATGTGTGTCAGTATGTAAGGATGCCAACTTCATTTCTCCTAAGACTGGATTTTACTATAAGATTGTTATTTTAGGAAAGGGCAGTGAGGAGTAAGTAGCGTGTGTAAAGACTTTGCTTGCAAAATGAAGTTAACAATCTTTGGTTTTTAGAACATGGAACTCTTATGCCTTCTGGATTGACTGTTTAGGTCTGAAAATGAATACTCAGTGTTTTCTTTTCTGTTTTCAGGGATGACTCTGTCCCAGAGGACAACATCTGGAGGGGCATCCTCTCTGTCATTTTCTTCTTCCTTATCATCAGTGTGTTAGCTTTTCCCAATGGTAAGTGATGTCACGCTTTACCACATTTCTTCTGTGCATTGTGCCCTTTTGGTGTTTTTTGAGAGGCATGCCATCTAGAAGACGAAACCAGAAGATGGGAATAAAAACCTAATCTGTGGTGGTTGGGCTCTGCCTGACCAGGCTCTGCCACTGGCTGACTCTGTGGCCCTGGAGAAGACCCCCAGCTTCTTCCCGAGTACTTGAGTCTCTCTCTTCTGTAAATGGAGATTGTCAGGTAGGTGCTCTTGAAAGGGTTAACTTAAGTTACTACATGTTAAATTCTCTGAGTAGTGTAAGCTCTCCATAAGGGTCAGCTGTTCTTACTGTTGCTCTCTTTACTGTATCAGCTGAGTCATAAAATACTCAATTATTATTTAGTCCTTTTTGCTAAGGACAGGGTCAATGCTGTAATGAATATTACTTAAATAATGTGTTGTCCCAGGTGATCTTTAATCATGGTGAACTTTGCTGATAATGCATTTGGGATATGAATTTTCATGATCAGGTATAAAAAAAGACCATTACTACTGTGAATTTTACCCCCTATCATGATTATAGTGTGAGGAAACGTCTTTTGTTTTTTTTGTATTTTGGGGTTTTTTGTTTGTTTGTTTTTTAAAGATTTTATTTATTTATTTGATAGAGATCACAAGTAGGCAGAGAGGCAGGCAGAGAGAGGGGGGGAAGCAGGCTCCCTGCTGAGCAGAGAGCCCCATTCGGGGCTTGATCCCAGGACCCTGGGATCATGACCTGAGCCAAAGGCAGAGGCTTTAACCCACTGAGCCACCCAGGCGCCCCTGTTTGTTTATTTTTTAAATGGGGCTACTTGGGTGGCTCAGTCAGTTAAGGATCTGCCTTCAGTTCAGGTCATGATCCCAGGGTCCTGGTATCAAGCCCCAGGTCGGGTTCTCTGCTCAGCAGGGGGCCTGCTTTCCCCTCTCCCTCTGTCAGTCCCCCTGCTTCTGCTCGCTCTCTCTTGCTCTCTCTCGCTCTCTCTGTTAAATAAAATAAAATTTAAAAAAAAAAAAAGCTACCTTACTTAAGATTCATTCCTTTCCTCTGGATTGTCCCTTACTTTGTTTTTTCTTAATCCTCTTCAGTAACTTCTCCCTAGAATATTCTGTACTTATTCCCTATAACCATTTTTAAATGCTGCTTTTTTTATATCCTGTTCTTTTACTCTTAAGATATTTTGAAATTGTTCAGTCTTACCTACGCATTATGCTTCATGGGTCCTCCTCGGATTTAAACTTCGCACTTGAGGGTGTGTTTCTTCTCTTATCCTCCCATTTATTCAATAGAATGTAATGTGTAATATAAGAAGCCCATTGTGAATGTTACTCATTGCTACTTGGAAATCTACCATGGTGACAAAGTTCTAATACTAATTCCAAGTTATGTGTGTTGTCGGGGGCAGGTAGCAGCAGGGATGGGGTGTTCCCCCATCAATAAGCAATTTTTAGACACCAGTTGACAGCCCTCTAGTTCAACTCAGTTCTGACACTGTCTACCCAGAATTAGCATCAGATCCCACAGGTTAAGGGCTCATAGAGGCCACTGTCGATGCCATTTGCAAGTCTGAGGTTTTCACCTGTGCTTCTGACCAAATGGTTATAAACCAGAGGTTCCCATGACCCCTCCTTGGGCTCGACTGATTTGCTAACATGGCTCACTGGATGCAGGAAATGCGTTTACTCACTAGCTGACGGTACCATTTTATTATAAAGGGTACTCATCAACAGATGAGAGATGAGTATAGGATAAGGTATGTTGGAAGGGTCTAGGAGCTTCCATGCACTCTCCACAGTGTGTCACTCTTCTGGTGTCAGAAAAGTGTTCAGCGACCCAGGAACTCTCCTAAACCCCCTCCTTTTGGGTTTTTTTGGAAGCCCCATTTACATAGACATAATCGATCCATCATTGGCCATTGGGAATTGAACTCAACCTCCAGCCTCTCACCCTTCCCTGGAGGTCTTAGGGATGGGATTGAAAGTTCCAACTCTGTAATCATGTGTTTGGCTCCACTGGCAAGCAGCCCCATCCTTAGGCACTTTGCTACGGTCTCATGAACATAGCAAAAAATATTCATTATTCTCATCACTTGAAATTGCAAGGGCTTTAGGAGCTCTGTGCCAGAAAAGGACACAAAGACCAAATCTATAGTTCTTATTGTAAATCACAGTATCACACGTGGCACGGCCTTCAGTATTTCCACGATGATGGCAATGGCATTCTGTTCTGTATTTTTGCTTAATCCAATGCAGCGCTATGTGCTTTTTGCTGGGAGTGTAACAGTCCAACCAGTAAAAAGCATGACCGAATCCTTACGAGAATGAATTGTTGTAGATAACCAAGTTCTTTGACGGCTGAGTTTAACTCTCCAACCACTCAAGCTTCTAGATTAAATGTTGAGTGGAAACCTTTCAAGATGTGAAAACCTGCTCTCAGTCAGTGCAGGCTGCTGTTGCAGAATACAGGTACCGAGGGTTTAAACAGCACAAGATTCATCCAGTGGCAGAATTCCTCTCCAGCTGGGAACCTATGAAACCAAACATGTGTTTACGAAGTCCAGTAGTGGGACAGGCACAGGATGCACACTCCCATCCCAAAAGGGAGAAATGGGAAAGAAGGGAGGGTGACAAGTCCCAAACAAGTTCAAAACCAGGAAAGCAAACTCGGTGAGACTTTAAGGGTCAGGAATAACCAATCCTGGGAGCACCTGACTGGCTCAGTCGGTAGAGCATGTGACTTGATCTCCATGTCGTGAGTTCCAGCCCCATGTGGGAGGTAGTGTCAACTTAAAAAAAAAAAAAAAAAAAGAAGAAGAAGAATCAAAGCTCTTTGGCTCAATGCTCTGCCTTCCAGATCCACTGGGGTAGTAATAGTCTGCTTCCATAGCTCTGCCCAGCTAGGATTTGGCCTGCTTGCATGGCTCTGCTGGGTGTTGTCTTGCATATTAAAACTCAGATGGAGATATTCTCCCCAATTTTCATCCTCTCAGTGGCCCATGCACTCTAAGGCCTGTGGTGGAAATGACAGTCCAGATAATCTCCCAATCACATTTAAGGTCCTTCATCCTGTGTCTTAAAGAACAGCAAGTGTTCATAGCCAAGTAGCTCTATGGTCCTGTAGGGTCTAAGAAGTCCAACAGAAGTCTTCACTGTAGTGGTTAGGATTATCACATCATGAATTTTGTTTGTCAGGGGACACAAACATCCGGCCTGTCACACCTGCATACCTTACGCAGATCTGACAAACATAGTTTGGTCTTTTCGTGATGATTGAGATTTCTGGAAATGCACAATTATGATGTAAGTATGAGTATGATGACTCAATGTCCATGGTATGGCTAGGTCTGGAATGAAGGGGTACTGACCCTACTATAGAATTTTCTAGGAAAAGTTCCTGATGGCAAAGAGCTTTTTTGGCTAATTGCCAACTTACTTTTCCCTCTGTCTTCCAACACACAGAACCTCAGAATTTGGAATTTTTGGTTAAGAGGAGAGCTTGGATATTACGCAACCCATCCATTCTTTCAACGGTCCTGCATTGTAGGACAGCTAAGTGGCCACTTGCTGCATAAAACATTCTATACACACGAACCACCCGAGTCTGTAGGTGGTCCCCTGAGCTCCGGAACCTGGCCTTTTCCTCTAAACATGGTATAGAAATACAGCCCAAAGCAAAGAGATGCTGAGCCCGGAAGGAGGGTGAGCAGGTGACCATTAAGTGGTGGTGACAGGGCACCTAGGTGGCTCAGTTGTTGAGCATTTGCCTTCAGCTCATGTCATGATCCTAGAGTCCCAGGATCGAGTCCCACATCGGGCTCACAGCTCTGCGGGGAGTCTTCTTCTCCCTCTCACCTTCTCCCCCTCATGCTTTCTCTCATTCTCTCTCTCTCAAATAAACAAAATCTTTAAAGTGGTAGAGACAACCACTCCTCCTTTAGCCATCCAGCTGTTCCCATCCTGTGAGAGCCCGCGGCGTACTCCAGTGTCCTCAGGCAGTGGCATGACCATTACTGCTCTGTGCCCTTTATTCTTACTTCTTATCTAGTCCATACCTATCCTATTAGCTTTTTTTTTTTTTTTTAAACATCAGTCAAGGCATGCTAGGTGCTCAGGGAACTGGTCAGTCCAGAGGGCTTGGGTCAGTTCTGCAAGCCTTAAGCTGTTCTTGGCTTCATGTTTGCTGTTGCTGAGTTCTCACAGATGGCTTCTCCACGGCGCTGAAGATTTCTTTAATGCCTTTTTTTTTTTTTTTCTTTTTAAACTTGCCTTTTCTTTTTCCAGTGCCATTTTTGAAGTCTGAAGATTCTCAAAGATGAGTCACTCAATAGCCATGAATCTGTTTTTCTAGCCATCCCTTCCATGAGGCTTTCCAAGAGAGGGCTTGGGGGTTCATTAGCAGATGGTTTTCTGCAGGCACCCAGGGTGCCGAAGGTCGGGAGAGGAAGTCTGTCGGACGTAACATATGGAAGGCTTTCCGCTGGTTTTTTCTTCTGTTCCCTGATGAAGTCCTCCAGTCTTCAAAGTCCACTTAACCCACTCAGTCTGTCACTGTGTGACTGCGCTCTTGTTTGCCTTCTGGGAAGATAAAAGTTAAGTTTGTTCTATGCTTTTCTTACCCTGGCTTGTGACTTCGTGACACATACAAAGGGGGGAGTACCCATAGGCCCATGTGGTTCGTTCAGCCTGCTCCGTTTACGGCTGCGAGAGCTGAGACGCTCGGCCCTCACTGAGCCCTGAGAGGTCACCCGGCCACTCGATGTCAGCCTGGTGAGAGGGCCTCGTCTCCTTTAGTCTGTCTTGTTCTGGTTAATTCTCTTACTAGGTCCACTGGGATGTGTTTTTATCTCTGTCATCCTATATGTTTTCGTCTCCTTTTTCTTCCGTTCCTCTCTATCAGTGTCTGGCTTTTCTTTTTTCACAGGAATATCATCTTAGGGTCTTAGTTGGTCTGTACCTCGCCGGTGATTGTGTCCATGGTCCTCCGTTGCC